ACATATAATCTCACAACCTGCACCTTTCTTACATTCTGAGACCCAAACAAATTCAGCGCCTTCTGTGCTTTGATTTACAAATGTATTTGTGCAACTCTTATTCCCATTCGATTCACACTGAAAATAAATTTGTATGTAGAGGCTATAAGAATTGTTGTTATAGAGATTTATACATATTAATTCTAGCTTTATGAAATTATTAACATTAAACAACCTTAAAAGCGAAATAAAACTGACTCATTTCAATAAGAAGAACAGCGAACAAATAAAAACTAGAAACCACGTGATTAATATTTGCTTTTTGTGTCCTAGCTGGTACCAGACCTAAAATTCTAGCGCAAAATCTTAGTTACGGGAGATAACTCATGTATCTCGCTTCGGTATTTTCCGCGGCGATTTAATCCAAGTTTATAGGTACCACACCACAGTAATGTAAGCCACAGCTTCGAATGGCCAGGGAGGATTTCTTGGATATAGTAAATATTCTGGATTTAACCTTTTACCCCATGAGCATTTTTTGAAAAATGACCGTTTTCATTGAAAAGCCTCCTGTTACAAGTTCAAACTGCTATGAAACTTTGAAAATGCTTCAATATCTTGGCACAAATGTTAACTGGACCATAGCCTCTTTAACAGCATGCTCAATCGTAAATTTTCTGTTACTAGGACAAGGGATGTCTCAAAATTGCGAAATATCACTATTTTGCATTGGTTTTTTCCCATCAAAACTGATTTCAAAGTGCTGCAACTTCTCAATAAATTCAGAAAGAGTAAAAGGCTTTTCAGCGTCAGTTATTAGTTACCCTGAGATCGACCTGAGGCCATTTTTAGCCTGTCACATTTTTCTTGGCGATGAGGGGGACTACAGCCCCCTTCACCCCCTCAAACAGAAGGGGGCAACCCCCTGATGTACTATTTTGATGGGGGGGGCGCGCCGAAAAGTGGTCACTTTTTTAAACAACATTTCTCAAATAAAAAACAGTGTTGGGGCCTAAACAGGGCATTTTTTCACTGTTTGAGGCCTCAAAAAAGGGGGGGGGGGGCAAAAAGCCGTCAAAACACGTCTATATATAGTGGGGCGGGAAATTGAGAAAATAGTGCAAATTGTGATACAAGCATGAAACTTTCAGGAAATCATCTTTAGACCATGTTGATTTCAAAAGTGAAGTGGGCCCAAAAATATCTCTGCTCATTCAAGATGGTCGCCATTTTCAAAATGGCCGCCATATAAATTTCAGTACATTCTAGCTCACTCATTCCAATTGTTTGTACAGACCTTTAACTCACACCAAAAGCATGCATATAATTTCTCCTTTTCAAAAATTTAAATCTCATAAAATTTCTCTTTCATAGTTCTTCCAAATCCAAGATGGCGTCCAATATGGCCGTCGATTTTGTGCAAAACTGTCATATCATTTTTATAGTATAATTTGTTGCACAAATTATGTTTATTATGATAAAAAGGTGTTTAAACATATCAGAGATAATCAAATTATATGTTAATCTCAATAAAAAAAAACATTTTAAAAGTTTTGTCTAAAAATATCTTTAAAAAAGATCAAGAAAAAATTCCATTTTTTCATATTTTTCAAATTTGATTTTCTAAAGTAATGTACAAAGTTAAAAAAAATTACTTTATATCTTTAACTGTATTTGACATTCCATTAATATCATGTGTTTATTGTAAAGAATGTAAGAAAAGCATTAAATCTGTAGGTTTTATATTTTGTGAAAGTGGGTGGGGTAATTTTATATGATAATTGTGAAAGAAAAAACAACAGAAAATCTACATAGCTAAATTCATTCTATTTCTTTGCCTTTTTACTTTTCTATGAATTCTTATGCAAATGTTCCAACTTAAAAAGTACTTTTTATTGGATGAAAGTATTTTTGTCTTCCTTCGGGCCATTTGGTGGGTGAGCAAGAAATGCACATACAAACATGTGTATACATTCAGTTATTAAATTTGGTTGCATGATAATTCTTGTTTCAATATATTTGATGTAATATATTAATTGTTAATCGTAAAGACATATAAAAAGACAATAAATCAACTAAACGTGCTTAAAATAGCAAACATGTACTTGAATGTAAGGTATAAAGGTAGTCCATAAATGCATATTTTTGACTCCTCCATAATTTTATATTTATAATATAAACATGGCTTAAAAGCCAACAAAATGTATGTGATGTGAAACATATATATCAATGATATGGCCAGGCCTGCATGCAACTTTTTGAAAAGTTAAGATACAAACTAAGTGTACTAGTATTTCCTAAAGTAATCATATCTTATTTTTTTTCTTTCAATAAGAGGGTAATGATGACCCTGGATCACTCGCCTAAGATCATTGTTGGAAAAAAGGTAACAAGATCATTTTGGGAGTGTCAATTATGTCATAACACACATGATTTGTGTCATAATTGAATCCGGTTGCTTTTAAAGAAACATGCTCAATATCTGCTTTAAATTTTTTATTTCACACGAGAGAACTTTAATAACCATATCTATATACGAGTCCATATAAACTTAGTGACCATTTGTGTTTGGTAAATTTGGACCATGTTGTCCATGATAAATCATCATTATAACATAATTATGATGATACATGATTAATGTATATGCGTCGGATAGTGTCGGTTAAGAGAAAACAGATTTATTACAGTAGTCTTTGTAAATTAAGTGATACCATTGCAAAACCATTTTAGACTGCAGTAGCATCATATAAATTAATGCATGTTATATCAGTCTACATCCCAAATATCTTATTTCAAGTCAATGAAGTTTAACACTAGATGTTTTTAATGTGTTTTCCTATACAAGTCTGACCCAGGTGGCTCTATGAGCATGAGTCATTAAATGTGTTAATAAAGACCCAAGGTGGTGCTACATGCCAGCTTAGTACCTGTGCTCTATGCATTTTGATTTTTGAGAAGATTTTTTTTATTGCATGTACACTTAATGATACAAAAGTGTTTTATGTAACTTTTAAAGAGGTCTTCTTTACTTGGCAAGGTTATATTTTGACTATATAAGCTCTAGGCATTACAGTTTGTTTTTTTGTTTTTTTAATAACATCAACAACAAAACAACTTCAATGCGATTCCCTACACAAGTCTTTAGAAATTGTGTTCCTCGTGAGGGCCTTTAAATCATGCTCCTGCAGTCCAAAATGGCTTTCCCTGTCACTTAGTTTACATTGACTTATATATTAAAATTCTTCTCTGAAACTATGTGCACAGAGAAGAAAAAATATATCATAACATTGTGATGCTATATAAAGATTATACACTATTGGCATAGGGTCAAAATCACTTAGTTTACATGGATTCTTATTGGAATATAGTTATATGAGTCTTCTTGTAGTTCTGAGAGCCTAGTTATTGGACATGATTCTTTAAATCATGACTGGTGAAAAAAAAAGATACTCCTTATATGATTTAAGCATTCTTCAGTATAAAAGAATTACAGACCTTTTTCAGCAGTGGGTCTTAGGCGCGTGATCTAGGGTCAACAATGCTCTCTTGTTTTATGGGAAAAATAAAGTAGGAATACATTTAGTTTATATTCCAAAGTATAAGCTATGTTTGTTATGTGGGTCAAGCGGTTTTATTGATACCTATTTTAGCACACCTAGTCATTAGATAATATGATGTATCAGTCGCCTAAATTTTTGTTTCTTTTGAAAATATCATGTCTACATAAGTTATTAGAAATGGACGGTACTTATTCAATTATACTTGGTTACAATGATGTGCAAGTAAATATAACTTTGAATCATTCTGTTACAAGCTTTTAGCAAGACTAAATTGTGCAGGAAATAATTGTATTCATAAATAGACAACATTTCACTAAGGTCCAGGCATGATTTTATCTAACATATGGTTCGTTGATGAATATTCAGTCTTCTTTCTGTACAATTATCAAGTTATAATATGACTATTGAAACAACTTATATCATGCAAACACATTTAATAGCTGAATGTATACATATGATTGTATCTGCATTTATTTATATTTTAGTACACCCTCTTAACCTGAAGGAAAACAAAAATATCTTAATACAATAAAATACTTTTACAGTGAATATTTGCATAAGAATTCTTAAAAAAAAACGTTATTTTGTACTACAATTGTCTGATTAATTTAACCCACCCGCTTTTAATAAGTATAAAACCTTCACATTTTTGTTTGTTTTTGTTACAATTAAATAAAAAATAGTGTTGATTGAATATCAAATACACTTTAAGAAACTATGTAACTTTTGGAATTTTGTACATAGACCTAGAAAACCATGTTAGAGATTTTTTTTAAAGATTTTTTTGTACAAAAAACTAAAAACATGACTAACAATGTGGTTAACCTAAAATTTGATTTTTTTCTAATATATTTCACAACTTTATATGGAAATACGCATACCGTGTGCAAAAAATTATACTACAAAAGAGATATATCAGTTTTCATTAAAATTGGCAGCCATATTGGACGCCATCTTGGATTCTGAAGAAATATGCAAGAGAAATTGCTTTAAGATTTAAATGTTTGAAAAGGGGAAACTATATGCATGCTTTGGTGTAAGTTTCAGGTCTGTACAAAATATTGGAATGAATGATCTATTATGTACATCAAATTTATATGGCGGCCATCTTGAAAATGGCGGCCATCTTGAATGAGCAGAGATATTTTTGGGCCCACTTCACTTTTGAAATCTACATGGTCTAAAGATAATTCCCTGAAAGTTTCATGCTTGTATCACAATTTGCAATTTTTTGACAGTAGAGACCTTATTTCCCGCCCCACTAATAAGGGAAAAAGGTTAAATGACTGCATGGTTGTCTTTAAAGTGCATTTTCCGCATGAAATTTGTTTTTGTGACATGGCAAATTTGAAAACAAGACCAGAAATCACATGCTGTTGATTATAGATGTCAAGGCCACCATTTTTAGCTCGACTTTTTTTTTTGAAAAAAAAAAGAAGTAAAGGTATTGTTATAGTCGGGTCGGCGTTGCCGTTGTCGTTGCCGTCCGCAAACTTGTACCTGGATCATAACTTTTTTATTTCTTGGTGTATTGTCTTCATACTTGGCCACAACAACCTTTGGGACAAGACCTTTCAGTAGACCACACTAACCTTGACCTTCATCCATAAATGACCTTGACCTTCAAGGTTAAAAGTCCAATTTTTGCTTGTTCATGCTGTTATTGGCTGTAACTTTGTTATTTTTGAATGGATTGTCTTCAAACTTGAACATAATTATCTTCAGGAATATCCCTTAAAAATAACTAGACAGACCTTGACCTTCACTCATAAATGACCTTGACTTTGAAGGTCAAATTATTGAAATTTTCATTTTTTTGGCTATTATTGGCTGTAACTTTGTTATTTTTGAATGGATTGTCTTGAAACTTGAACATAATAATCTTCAAAGATAACTGTTAAAAATATACCGAAAGGCCTTGACCTTCACTTATTAATGACATTGTCTTTGAAGGTCAAATTATTGAAATTTTCATTGTTTTGGCGGTAACTGACTGTAACTTTGCTATTATTGAAGGGATCAACTTCATATTATAACAGAACATTCTTAAGGACCAGACCTTGTTGTTTATCAAACCCAAATTTGCTTGGGCTCTTTAATGACCTTGACCTTGAAGGTTAAATTACTGAATTTTCTCAGATTTGTGCAATCTCCAACCAGGTATACGGAACCTAAATTTTCAAAGTCATATATATCATTTTGTAAAATATCAAACAGGTCAACAGGGACTACACTATATGCTGGCGAATCTTGGCACCAGATGTATAAACCACATATATAAACGTCAGATTCAAAATGAAAAAAATGTCTGTTTAATTTCAACCAAATAATAGTGTCATAATGTGTACGAACCACCTCTATACCTGGTTTTAAACATTCTTTAAAGTACAAAACAGTTCTTCCACTACTTCTTCTCGCATTTCTATTTTGAAATTTTCTGTAAAAGTTATAAGATACATAATTGGAAAGTTCAATATCACTATCTTTGTTGGTCCAAGACTCATATAAAAATATAATGTCATTTTTTGAGATCAAATTAACAAACTCACTGTCATTTTTCTTTTCACAGGTTAAACCGTTTACGTTCCATGATAAAATATCCAGTCCATCTTCCTCGAATCCCTAGCTCGACTCATCCCCTTTCATCGGTTTTCCATCTATGTATAGGGTGTCATATGCTAACCACGCCCTTTTCCCTGCTTGTTTGGCCTCCTTTAGCTTAGGTATAAGCTTTCTCCTTATATCATTTACCTCTTTTGGAAATTGTTCCTGAACGAAATAATTTGATCCCTGTAATGATTTCCATTGTTTACGGACATATTCCCTTTCCTTGAAGAGCGAGAATTTTGCCACTATTTTTCTACTATAGTGATTTGTTTTAGCTCCGATTCTATGCACTCTTTCAAATTGTAGGTCATCCACAAACTTTTGGGCGAGTTTCATTTTATTTGTTAAAAACGATCTTAATGTTTTTTCCGTGTCATCAGGGGTTTCTGTCGGGGCCTCTTCGATGTTTGTAAATATAAGATTGTTCCGCATGGATTGCGATTGAAGATAAACAACTTCGTCCCTCAGCAAATCTTTCTCTCTTTGTAACTCTATCACTTTATCATTCACAAGACCAACGGAAAAGTCACTGGCTTCAACTTTATCCTCCACCTGATCTAAACGCTCGTTTACTTTTTTGGCATTATCATGTACAAAATTCCAAAGTTTCTTCATTTCTTCGTCAAATTTGTCGACTTTTCGCTCTAAGATTTCCAATTTTTTCAAGCGACTATCAATATTCATTAACTTATTGTCAATACCTTTTAAACAGTTCATTATATCACAATTTGACGGATTTTCCATTGTCACCATTAGATCTTGAGGTGGGTGGGGTGTAAGAAAAGGACCTGTGTCAGGACCTGTGTCTGTATCAGAATCAATAGAGCTATTCCCTTCAAAAAGTACTTTCAAATTAAGTTGATCTTCATTTTCAAACAATACTGAATTTGCTTGACTTAAAATGTTACTCACAGGTACGTTTTGAAAATCTGGTGAGTGAGAAAATCTTCCCGCCTTGCAAAAACTTTTATTGTCTACACTATCGTCACTCTTTTTGCGTTTATTTTTCTTTTTTTTTCCTCCCATATATGACTATTAGAAATATCCAATATAACAAACATTAACTAGAAACTTTACAAAATCCTTTTCATATGTTTAATCACTGTAAATTCCAGTAAAATAGCAATGATTGCACGAACACAAAAAATACGTGTTACTCCATTGATCACGTGACTTACAGTGAAAATACGGAAAATGAAAATACGCATTTTATTTCATTAATATTTCTCAATATTTCATTTGTAAGTATATAATAAACAAAAATATCTTGTTCAAGCACATTTTGGTTGCAGACTTATACTTCAAGCATTTTTGGTTGCAAACTTATGTGTCAATAATATGGCATGGATATTTTTAAGGAGATATAACTAATCATTGTTTAAATAATTAGCAATATTTAGGCAATTATACCCAAATATATATTTAACTTGTGCATGCGTGCAGATATATCCTAACACGATATGCTAAATTGAAGTTCAAGTTGAAATGTGTTAAACTGTAAATTTGCATGAATTATAATTAAATTCCCTTTGAAATATAAAAAAAATCTGCATTCATAAATAATAAACACATAGTGAAAATAGTGAGTCTGACGAACTTCTAGAAAAAAATATGTATAAGAATAAACACCTATCATTTAATTATCATAAGAATCATTAATGTTTATTTCATGAAGTGAAAATCCAAAGCAAATTTTCAAAAAGGCTATTTCATCACAACATACATGTTTACGACAATATGTTATGAATGGGAGTTAACTAAATTTCAACATGTTTATTCAATGTATTTTTGGTTGTTGTTTTTTTTTTCATGCTGATGATGCAAAGTTAAAGAATGGATGTTCCTGACGTCGAATCTTTCCTTCGTTGTGGAATATGTGAGAAAACATTTCGTTCTAGATTTTATTTAACACGTCATCTGGCATCACATGATTCAACATCATACGCATGTGACAAGTGTAAGAAAGAGTTTACCAAAGGAAAAAGTAAATGTTGAAGACCTAAATTCAGAAAAGTGATTAACAGACAATTATCACAGGAGCAGATTATATGTCTTTCATATTTATTTTATTTTTATGCCCCCTGGCATATAGTTATTGAACCGTCCGTCCGTCTGTCTGTCCGTACAAGGTTAACCTAATACGTCAAGTTTTTTTTGTTAAGCTCTACCTTTACCATTGCCTTTATAATTTACACAATTATTAATCAATACAAAGTACATGATCTGAGCAAGTTGCATAGCTATTGCTTCCATATTTTACCAAGCTATTGCCCTTTTCAGCACTTTGTTAACCTAAACCGGCAAATTGGATATAACCTAAGTTCTTTCTATATTTTAACCTTAATATTTCCACACTTATTTATCAATACAATGTACATGATATTGCCAAGTTATATAACTGTGGCATCCATTTTCCCAAGTTATTGCCCCTCTTATCACTTTGAAAATAGGCTATTGTATCGTTAACCTCTACCGGAAATGTTTGGTTTATCTTAAACGTCTTCTAATTTCTTCGTTTATTTAATGATATCTTTTATATTTGGTAGGAAGATACCGGTACCTAACAATAGATTTGTGTTTAACAAACACGCTCTTTTTATTTGATTATTCTTTATATTATTCATGTTTAATCTTTACTTAGACAGAAAATCGCAAGTCGCGTTTTCATGATTCATGTTTATATTATAATGCGATGAGTATTACTGTATACATTATTAATTATGATATGATTAAACTGAGAATCAAGTATTCATTTTTGGTATTATTTATATACTCTATCCGATTATGATTCTATTCCCACAAAAATCATTTCGAGGTACTGCCAATAAATAAATATATGGTCTAATTGATAAAGTAAAGTTGGTAATTTAAGTCCTTCTGCAAGAAGAATTGCTTAAGAGCTGGTCATATGACTTATACGACAGTGTGACTTAGAAAATAGAACCAAACATAGAATGACAATTATATCGATTACATCATGGTGGAGTCTATCGGTACATGTAAGAGTTATTATAAAAAGTTAGACACAGTGAGTTTCTGTCTTTTATTTATGTAAATAGTTTTAGATATAGCATTATTCATGTCTACCTATGTAAAACAATAATTTCAAAATGTTCTCAAATATTGCGTAGTGTTAATTCATATGTAAGGTAGACGAATTTAATAAAATTTCATGGCAGTTCAGCAATAATTACAACCATTCCTTTAAGGCCAGAAAAAACAATGACTATTTGGCCTATTACAATAGTTACAGTATAGATGTTATTGAATTAAACTTGCATGTATGGCACAAAGTAAAAGCATGTACATTAATTAAAGCTTTACAAAATCTGTGTGTAAATCACAAACTCAAATACATGTATACGAAGTACAGTACATCACAGTAACATGTATATTATTGTAACTAATAGTTATATACATGAATGTTAATCAGAATACAAAGTGAATGTATTCTTTAGTACTAGTATTATCAATATCGTTACGCAAATACCAAAACTATGTCAGTCATAGTAATTAACTAAATGTCGATTATACAATATTAACTCCAATTAATATTCCAACTCAAAACCATTTAACTATGCAAAAGTCAAAAAAGTTTTTCCTTCAGGCTTTCCATAGAAATACAGACATTTCATCACTGTTGTAGAACTTTAGTTCATCTTATAATTTTTCGGAAATATTCTGTCTTGATGAAGGTGATATGGTTGTACGCCTCTTAGAATATCATTAAGTTTTCTAACAGTTCCGTGCTTTGTTACGCCTCCTCTCCTTTGGTCGAATTCATGATCCCTGAAATAGAATTTAAAAATTATGAGTACTACACTTTAAATCATCTTTGAAAATTAACTTTATTTAAATCACTTACATTTTATTACAATTACATAGAGGTTAAGAACACCTTATTTCGTGCATCAACAAACGCAAAAGCATTTTACATAATGATGCCATGTTTTAGAATTGAAGTATCAATAAATATTTTTCTATATACTATTATTTTGTTCGCAGGGTTTTACTGGTGATTATAGTATTGAACTGAGAATCATGCAATTTGAAACATAAAGTGCATAATTGTTGTAAAAGAAAAAAATAAGTATAAATAACAGTTATAAAAAAAAAACAAGTTACAGATTTGAGAACATAAATGTCAATAATTGCTATCGAAAAAATGTTAATAAATATAACCTTCATTCACTCCTGTTGCAAAGTTTTACTATGAATTTTAATAGAACAAGAATAAGTTTGCAACCAAAAATGTAGTATAAGTCTGCAACCAAAATGTGCTTGAACAAGACATTTTTGTGTATTGAACGTTATATTCGGACTTTCGAACTAAACCATTTGTACAGCATTGACAGAAACATATTTTGTTCTTTTTAAATGCAGTTCAAAACTTACAAATTCGAATAAATGAGGAGAAAAACCGACCAAAACAGTCACATGTCAAATCTCAAAATATCTTTATGATCAGTTTATATCTTCAATAACTTCGTCCAAACAAAATATAGGATGTTAAAACGTTTAACCGAGTGTGGCATATATATTGCATTATGGAATAGACATACTAATGAACTTCAAAATAACAAAGAAACCCACTTGCCTGGCAAAAATTCGTTCACCCGTTTCAAAAAATCACGCCGTGTTCGCCATTTTGTCAAGTTTGCAACCAATTCGCTCGCTTGAACCAAGTGTGCAACCAGTTCACGTCCTGCCCCTTGCGATATGTCAAATTCCAAATCGTAATGCAAGTAATGGTCCAGCAGAGTGCTCCTCTCTTTATTTTTTTGTACGGAGTATTTTCATTAGTCTAAGGTTTTCACACGACCAATGAAAATACTCCATACGATTGCACCCTCTATCATTATAATGATAATATCCAAAATATACCCCTTTTACAGTATAAATAAACAGTGTTTATTTATACTGTATAAGGGGTATATTTTGGATATTATCATTAATATTGATAAAATTTCAAGTTCCTGTGATGTGTACTTTCATTTGTGGTACAAAGGCGGCCGAGACACGGTCTTCGAAAAAGGTATTCGGGCACAATGACATTATGAGTGGAATTTCATAAAAGATTGTGAGTCTGAGGCAAAAAAAAACTCTTTTTTTTCTGAAAGCCATACAAAACATAAGGGGTATTGCACTTCTGCGGTCTTAATATGTGTATTTTATCATTGACATGGTGGGGAATCATTGTAACATGGTATCTTATGAAATGTTTCTGTTATCATATTCTAACTACATGCCAAGTTTAAAGAAATTCTATTGAACAGTTTTAATTTTGCCTATATGTCTATATGAAAACTCCCGAAAACGTCCTGGTGGATTCTCCTGAAAAAGTACAATATTGTTTATAATGTCACAGGTGGGTACTGCAAGTCCTGTCAGTTACGCATACTCTGCATGCTCTCAACAAAATATTTTCTGTTAAACAAAAGATATTGACAAAAATTCTCACGTGGACACCTGAATCTGAAAGATTTTCAATTGCTGCGATACCATGTCATGTGGTTTCCATATCACGTGATTCCCCACCAAAATTGCAAGATTAGTTTGATAGACTACTAGCAGATTTTTGAGAAAATAATATGTTTTCAACAAAAACGAAAAACAAAATTCAGTACCATTTTAGTTCCAATAGAATTAAAAATAACCTATTCTTTTATCTATCAAAATATATCTTGGAAATCTTTGTTAAGTTGTGCTACTTAATTATTATTTTTTTTAAAAATCCAGGCTCAAGCTCCTATCTAGGCTCAAGCTCCTATCCAGGCTCAAGCTCCTATCAAGGCTCAAGCTCCTATCCCGACTCAAGCTCCCATCCAGGCTCCTACTCCTTTCCAGGCTCTTGAGGAGAGTGCACCAGATTGCGAGTACACCATGCAACCCAGCTTAAGAAAATTTTGTCAGTTTTTTTTGTAGCTTTGTGTTCATGGTGAGCTATAATTGACGTTTCTCCATGAAACTTGGTCACAATGTATGGCTGAAATCTCGACAAAGTTCAAAGCTGGGTCATGTGGGGTCAAAAACTATGTCACTAGGTCAAATCTTAGAAAAAGAATGTGAACACATTAGAGGCCACATTTTTGGCCAATTTTTCATGAAACTTAGTGTAAATGTTCATCTCTATGAAATCAAGAACATGTTCGAAATA